ATACTTTATAGGTCGGAGATGTCCCTGCAAGGGTATTAAAATAAAAATATTTTTACAAATTTAAATTTATAGAATTTAATTTTTTGAACGAATTTTTTCAGATGGGCGAACCTTTATTTAGATTTTTTTTAGATTACTTACTAGTGGATGTCTAGTGGAGTCCACTGCCACGGCGCCTTTCTGCCCCGTGATTCAAGTACATATTAGAGAGGTACCTGAATCGGTACCTTTTCAGGTACCTTTTTAGAGGTACCTGAATCGATTAAAAGTTTTAATAAGTGATTAGCGCAGGAAATGCGCAGCCATGCGCAACAGAATCAATTGTAGCCTTCTTTGCCGGAGTTTTCCTTGGGCATAAAGTTGATTTTCTGTTTTCCATGCTGTGGTCTGCCTAAAACGATGATTCCGATGATTCCGGGTCTCTTTGAATCTTTGATCAAAAAGTCTGAGAGCAACCGTTTGCTTTGTTCGTATAAAAATTTTGAACCCGCTCAAATGACGAATTTTTATTTGTACAATTTATCCTAAGCGAGCGACGGAGTTCAATAAATACCCAAAACCCTTACTCTTTATTGTTACGCTGAATTTTATATAATAAATATAATAGAAAATAAATGATTAAATAAAAATTATTTTTTCTTAAAAAAAATTACACATTGTATGTTACCACTGTGCATCGAACAGAATTGAAAGTGTTGAAAAGACTTTTTAATCGACTTTTTCGGTCGATCGGTCTTTTAATGAGGGTCTCTGTGCGAACGTCAATCATATCTCTCAGTGAGCGATGTTCATCATTTTACGAATCTCTTAACGTAAAACGCTCAGCGAAAAACCAAAATCCTGCTCTGAGAGAGAGTGATTGTCAAACATTTTTTCGGTTGTTCTCAAAAACTGAACATAAGGAACAAAAAGGCTAACAGTTATTTGCAAGCTATGATTAATAGGCGGAAATTGTAAAAAATTATTTTTTGATGAAAAATCAAAAATAAAATTTCTCATCTCTATTTAGGCGTGTTAGTAAATGCTGGCAAACTACATTCCCATTAATTAGGCTATGTAGAAAAACTACACCGAGCATTGTCCTACAATTTGTTAAGCGAGGTAAGTTTATAAGTAAGAGTATTTTATTATAAGATGGAAGGTGAAGATGTGCATCCCAGTTTAGACCTCTAATAGAAAAAATTACGAAATTCTTTTGTACGGGGGGACTCTAGACACATGAACCGTACTCCAGTATCGGACGGACCAATGCAATAAATAATGTTTTGGTTATGTACCATATAGGTCAGTAAATTCTTTCGACCACATTTTAATGAAACCAAGGACTCCTTAAGCCTTATTAACCATTGAAAAAATATGGTCGCAAATTTAAGTTTAGTGTCTAAAAGGAAGCCAAGATCATTAACCTGAGCTAATTTTTCTAAGGCAATCTCATAAAGAGCATATGAAGCCTGCAGAGGGCAAGAACGATAAAAATACATAAGCATTAAGAGGTTTGTAGAAATCCCAGCTTACTCAAAAAGAGTAAGTGATTAACTGAATAAAATACTTTTTCAAAGTCGGTGTAAATAACATCTGTTTGACGTCTCTTTCGAAAGCCATCTATGACAAAGGATGTCAACTCCAGTAAATTTGTGGTGGTGGAGCGACGCTTAAGAAGCCATGCTGACATGGAGAGATGATCGAAGAGCAAATATCTTTGGAATTGCCGACAATTTAGAGATGCCTCTGTAATTGGCAGCATCGGAATTTTTCCCTTTTTTATGTAGGGGAATTATGAAATATTCCTTCCACTTAAGGGACAAAATCGAGGTTTCAAAAGATAATTTGAAAAGTCTTTGAAGTGGTTTGCACCGAGCCGTGGCACAATATTTTAGCACACAGCCTGGTACTCCATCGGGGCCTGGCGAATGGGCGAATAAATGGGTTTGACCCTTAGAAGATCAGATAATAAGCTATTCTCGGAGAAAAGCGGACGGAAAATAAGATTTGTTGATTGAATGTTGTAGGCTTAATGCTGATCAGTCAATTAGGCGGAGAATAAGTTGTTTGAAAAAATTCTGCGAACAGATCGGCAATGGCGTGATCAGAGGTCGCAGATGAATTTTTAAACGTTAGCAGAGGTGGGAAAGATACATGTTTACGCTTTGTGTTTACAAAATTATAAAACTGCTTTAGATCCTGAGTTAATTGTATCCGGCAGCGGCGAAAATAATTCCTGTAACATTCAGCGTTATGCACGGTAAAATTTGAACGAGCTAGTAAATATCTTGAAAAAACAATACTACTGCAGGTTTTTTTTATAATTAAGTAAAAGCTTATTTTTAGTATTTTTTAGGTTAGTGAGGCACCTTGTAAACCAAGGAGGATTTGTTGAAGCGGACGTATTTAAAGTACAGTACAATTTTTCTAAGGTGACGTTAAGATCAGTGCATGCCAGAATATCGGAGCAATCATATGATCGATAAAGCTATTAAGTTTGTGAAAATCTGCTTGAAAACTTGATTGATACCAGGAATGGTATCGTGCGGTGATATAGATCCTCTGGGGTGGAAAGCTCTGGAGAGAGTGGTACCATCAGGATCAAATACAAAACCTTTGTCTAAATTCCGACCTAACAAATTTCTAACATGGTTAATTTGACCTAGGGACATGTCAAACGTGCCCGCGGTGAAGTCATGGTGTGTTATAAGTGATAAAGATGATGAAATATCGACATTCGCCACTTTAATTCTGCTGGTCATTATCAGTCATAAGATCAAAAACGGATTGAATAGCGGACAAGTGATGCCAATATGTGGGCGGTTCGGACGAAGGCGGTATATATGAACATGTAATGTATAATGATTTTTCGGACAGAATTATTTTAACGCAAAAAATTCTCTCACCAAACTCTTGTGATTATACAAAATACAATTTGTATATACAATTTTGCCTTATACAATTTTATTTCGGAAAATTGTATAATGTTCTCCACCTTTCTATCGCTTTTTTTGGCTTTGATATAAGCCGAGATATCAATCTCTGAAGTATCAGGGGCAAGCCGAGAAACAAATATATGTTTCGATGGAGGAATCACCTGTAAGGGTTTTGGTGTCGCAGGTACGAAAACTCTGGAATTCCCTGTTGGGTGACTCTAAAGGGGGTTTCATTCACTAGGACCTGTGGTATCACTTGAAGAAGGACATATCAGACAATTGCTCATTTTCCCTAAGAAATTCGGACGGCGAATTGTTCTCAGTTCTAGCCCTTGGGGTGGCCAGAGATATGAGCGGCTGCGTTAATGTCGGCAGGTTGAGGCGGTTCACAACCAGCGGATTTCATACGCTTAGGGGACACATTTAGCAGCTGAAACTGAGCATCAAGCAGACAGAGCTGGACATTGATTTTACGAAAACCTCTTTAAATCCATTTTTAGTCTGTCTCATAAACGACCTCTTTTTTCGTGGACAGCACGAAAATTAGCACAACAATAATGTAAATCAGACCTACGGGAAATGGAATCCAAAACTGAGGCAGTGAATTCGGCACACTTGGCGGGTACAACGTTTTCACATAGCCAGCACTGGAAGGTAGGCTGGGACGAGGAGATTGCCTTGTTACAAGACTTCATTGAACAGACGAGCTTAAATTCCATTTTAAAAATTCTGTCATTCACACAACTTTTGTCAAATAAGTATCCGGAAATTCTCATTTTAAATTTTCCCGCTGAGAATATTTCGATAAAATTTTTTTCCCAGGTTGGCACCACTGCCACTATTCTTTCAATTTTTATTGCTAGGTGTTATTTAGTTTGCTCACGGCGTCATTAGGAACAAGTCAACCTTTTGTGTGCGTTGCGATTTTTACTATGGAAAAATACATTGAACAAAGAGTTCGTGTGAAATTTTGTGTTTCCAACGAAATTTCTTGTGCCAAAACGTGGGAAATGTTGAAAAAAACATTTGGTGATTAAACCATGTCGAAAACTCAAGTTTACGATTGCTATAAATCGTTCAAAGAGGGGGCGAGAAGAAGTGAACGATTTGCCACGTACAGGACGGCCTTTGATCTCTTCAACTAAACAGAACGTCGACAAAATAAAGGAAATGGTGCTCGAAAATCGTCATTAAAGTTTGCGAGAGATACCCCAAGAAATGAACAAGAAATTCGTCGCAAAAGACCAGATTTGTGGCGAAATAACTGTTGGATTTTGCACCACGATAATGCACCAGTGCACAATGCGATCATTGTGAACGAGTTTTTGAACAAAAATTCAACAAATATCATCGAACAACCACCGTACTCTCCAGATATGGCCCCGTGTGACTTTTTCCTGTTTCCAAAACTCAAATTACCACTTCGTGGAAACCGTTTTGAGAACATTGAAGACATTAAAACTAATTCGCATCAAAGAAGACATCAAGACAATCAAAACTAAGTTTATTGTGGTCCTTATTTATTCCGTTTGGGCCATTAAGGCTAGGTTGCTCCATGATATTTGGAGAAAATTACGAAAGCTACGACTGCAAAGTTCTCTTGAAGACTAACTTAATATTTTACTCCGGTTCCACCGCGAGAATTTTGTAAAACACAACTTATGTTAAATTTTTTTTTTAAATATTATTGAAGTATGTTTTATTAAATAACCAAGGTTTTTGCATATTAACTTTTTTGCAATAATTTGTTTTGTTTGGAAAACTGAGTGCGTCTATCCCAAGACCAGCAGTGTATATCCGATGTTTCCGGTTTTAACTGCAAGGGTATATAAACTTCGGCCTCGCCTCGCTTTCCTTTCTTGTTTTAGATATTTTTTGGTTATGTCGTTAATTTAATACTTTCCTTAAATATTTTGGTTCTTTAAAAAATTCGACGCTCGAATTTGTCACCGAAATAAATACATATATAGTATATAAAGTAAATTAAATTAATAAATTATTGACTGAAATATACCGATTGAACTATACCCATACTGCAATAAAAAAAAACATGTAATTTGACTTTTTTCCTTATTTTTTTAGTACCTGCCGAAGATATTTGGCGTGGAGTTACGGCCGTAAGCAACGCTGGAAAAAAAAGAGGCCGCGGTAAAGGAAGTGGCAAAAAGGTGGCAAAGGACCTTAACAAAGGCCAAAGCCTTGGTCTTGGAAAAAACAGCCGTGTATGGCCTGGATTAAATTCTCCTGTTTTAAAAGGCTATGAACTTGTCCATTCTCAGAAAATGACCGATAGTAATGATAAGGTAAACGGATATATGAAATTACGTGACTCAATGAGCAACTTCAAAATAATGAAATTAAACCCGATAGACCGCGGGTGGTCTGGAAGTAAAATGCCCGGTCGTAGTATTGGACCCCCTGATAGTGTAGGCGAGGAAGAATTTAGCTCGTTTGATACCCGAGTGTTAGAGAACAAAATTGTTTTTATTATGAAGGGAAATATGGGAAGGAAACGAAGATATTCTGTTTTGTCGGTAACAGGAAATGGCAATGGGTTGGCAGGATTTGCTACAGCTAAAGCACCAGAAGTACGAACCGCTCTTCGAAAGTCTAAGAATCGGGCCGGTCAAAAACTCATTAATATCAACTTGTGTGAAAATAGAACAATATACCACGACTTTTATACTGCATTTGGAAAAACCAAAATATATTGTTTTCAAAAACCTGATGGATATGGCTTAATATGTCACCGGGCTATACAAACGATTTGTAAGGTTTTAGGAATAAAAGATTTATATGCAAAAATTGAAGGCTCTACGAATGTACAACATATAGTAAAGGCTTTTTTTATTGGTGTAATGCAGCAACGATCTTACCAATATATTGCAAATGAAACAAATCTGTACGTTGTTCAAAAGCAAAAAGCAAAAAGTGGGTATACCGACGTCAAAGCCATACCACATTTACCCTCAACGAACCCGTATAATGCTGCAGATGCAGATTATATGCATTTTACACTTGGTAACAAAATTGTTTTAAAAGAAAATAAAATATTCCCCTTTTATTTCAACTCTAAAGGACATCAATTATATCAAACAAAGGAAGAACGATTTCGAAATCAAGCTAATGTTCGATTGCGCGATTTGGTTAATTCTTATGTTTAATTAATAAAAAAACTTGTTAAAAAAAATACTTTTCAAGCTTTTGTTTTTGGGTATATGGTTAAGTTTTTTAAAATGTATAGCCGTTACTCTCGTGGAGTACAAGAGTACAAATATAACATCGTGTGAGTGTATGTAAGAAATCATCTTCGACCCCGTAAAGTATATATCGAGCACTATTTAGAAGAAAAAAAACTAAGACTAGAATATAGGGCTCTATTTATTATTGATCAGCATCTTGATCAGATTCATGTTCGTCTGTTCGTATGAATGCGTGTATCTCAGAGACTATAAGATATATAGCTATAAAACTTGCTCCTATAATACACCCAGTCCTTTTTTTACGCGATTGTTGGTTCTGCCACTAATCGCGTAAAAATGGTATCCGCTAACTAAATGACTAATGACTAGATTTGCAATAATTGATACACATAGAGTAATCGCAATCGCAATCGCGTTAAAGTGAAAAATCCGCGTAAAAATAGAAATTTGCGCTGCAAAAATATCCAAAAATAAAAGGACTGGGTGTACTATCAATTTTCCAAAAACTTTTTCCTTGGCTAGTAAGAGTAAGTGAAACGCTAATCATGATAATTTGATAATTTTTGACGCCCTCCATCAAAATCCCCCAATCAAAATGTTATTAGGTAAGTTTTTTAACTTTTTAAAAATCATAACCATCGAACCACCGAACTGAGCAAAAAACAACAGCTAATCAAAAAAAAAAAAAAAAAAAACTGGGCAACCTAATATAAGCGAAAAGACGGTGAACTACAATTTATTAGAAGCACAAGACAAGCTTTTTAAAACAGTTGTGATGTGCTAAACCAAAACTAGTGCATTGTTTTTAGTAAATAAGTGCCACGCAATGAGCTCATTGAGCAACGATCAAAAGAACGAGCGTAGAAGTTAGTGAAACAAAGAAACGGCTTCTACTCCTACTTTTCAACCCGCGATACCGGAGTGGAAAAATCGGCGATTAAGAGCACCCCGGCTTTACTGACCGCTGAAACCCAAAAGGCAGGGTCTTGCTCACCCGCTCTGCTCACTTCGACTCCCGTGTCATGGAGTTCGCAGTGTAAAACCCCCCCCTCCAATATCGGAAAAAAATTTCGCAAGAACAACTAGCAGGGCTACAATTTCTGCAATCACAGCGACAACCACTGCAAATCAAAATACCGCGACGTCAACGACTACAGCGAGTACAAAAACAAAAACTTCGGAAAGTGCCAAAGCGGCCACGGCCACACAGACTGGAATGGATCGCTACATCCAAATTAGGCGCAAACTTAGCCCGCAGAGTACTCAAGCAGGCAACAAAACAAAAATTAACCGCGTCCAGAAGATCGGCGAAGAACCAGACAGATCCACTAGTAACAGATTTGCCCCACTGGCGCAGGTAAAGGTTGCCGTATCAATGTATTGGGGTGCCGACCACTGCACTATGGTCCCAGTGCGGCATAAAATCGAAAAAATTATGAAACTATTTTTTGAATATGCACACAATTTTGATAAACAGACATTCCAAATAAATATAATTATAAATTTTTTTGAGCTGTATTGCAACCCTGTTAATTTAGCGCGGTCATTTAACCAGCTGATTCATTGCAATCCTGAAACTTGGAAATTGGCGGCAACTTTTAATTGTGTTACAATTGGCTTAAATTTAGTGAAAATACCAGATTAAATGTGGAAAACAAAGATCAAGGTGTGAAAAATCAATAATAAAACTATTTCGTGTTCTCATTACATTTGTGTCTGTGTTGTCAAATGTTTTGTAAGTGTCTATTTAGCAGGAATGTGTAACAAAAGTAGTTCTGTTTTGTGGAGTTTGTTACTTTTTCAGCGCATATCGGCGCAAGCCTGGTTCACTAACCAGGAGAAGTTACTTATAAATATATTTTTTATTATCAATCATTCAAAAGTTACATTTAAAATCTGTCCGGAATTATGAACAATAATTAAATTTTTTAATGATACCTTAGCTTAATGGAATATTGAGTAATATGTTATAATGTACAAATATGATTTTTGCTTGTCCTACGAACTACTTTTAACTTTAATTTTTGTTTAAGCCTTGACGTTTCAATTAGAATTTTATGGTGAACCCTTTAGTGGGCGTGGATAAATCTAGAAATTCGAGTGGCAAAGGTCCAGTGGGTGAGTCCGTTTCAGCCTCTTAGTGGTGTAGCTGTTGTCTAACAGGTTATAAATATATAGGAATACAAATTTAATTGGTCTTCTTTGCCCGTTTTTGCCACTTTTCGAAAAAACAATACATGTTGCAGGTGTTTATGAGTTCTCTCATGCAGCGCTCCTCGAAGTTTGGGGGGAGAGCCACCGGAAAGACGGCGCTGTTAGAGGTTTAAATTAAATATTATAACTTATAGAACCACATTTAGTAAAAGTTGTAGTTCTTTTTATGAAAAACTTAAAATTAAGTAAAAATGACAGTATGGCCAACTCTTGATGTAGGGGGTGGTCAAATTTCCAAAACAATAAATATTGAAATTCGAAAAAAATAGTTCAAGCATATATGCAAAATTTTAGCCCAGTATATCTAAAATTGGAGTTTATGAAAAAACAACGGCACTTTCGCCCCAAGTGGGCGTAGTCAAATTTAAAAAAACAAAAGAATTCGAAATTCGACAAAAATAGTTTAAGCGTATGTGAAAAAATTTGAGGCCAGTATTTCGAAAACTGGAGTTTCTGCCAAAAAAAACTGCGTTTCGGCCCATAGTACACTGGTGTAAACCAGGACTGCAGAGCACTTTTAGAAAAATTATTACACGTACCAGCTATAAAGCAGCAACAAATGGTATTAAGGGGTTACATACCTTTTTTATTTTCAAAAAAACGAAAATTTTTAGTGGTTTATCTTGAAGAACAACTCCTTGAGAACATTCTCCCAAATTTTCATAGAGATTGGAGCAGTAGAAAAAAAGTTACAGCGCTCCTAAACGCGCGCCTTGTCGCGGCCTTGCACTTAACTTGAAACTTTAAACGCGAATATCTCGAAATGGTGTTTCTTAAAAAATGACTTTGCGGTGACATGGATTGGCGGAAAACTACTGAACCGATTTACTCAAATTTTTTTTTAAATGTTCGTAATGAAATTTTCTTGTGCTTGAACGATCGACTTTTCACGCGCAAACTTTTTTTTCGGCGAAATAAATTTTTTAGTGAAATTTCTAGAGACCAAAACGTTCATTTTTAGCATAAAACGCTGCCATATCCAAACAAAAACAAAAAATTTTAAAATCGATCGTTCAAGCACAAGAGATTACTCTAAACTAATGAAATATTTTTACTTTTATGGTTTAAGGGGTTATATACAGTTGTGATATATGAAAAAATCGATTTTTTTTTTATTGCATATTCTTTAAGTATATTCTATTGGGTGTACTCCCACAAAAATTGATAACGATCGGAGCATTAGATCCGAAGCTGTAGCTATTTATAGCACACTATCTGCATATAAAACTTGAACAAACTTAAAACTTTAAACGCGATTATCTCAGAATCTTTTTTTTGGGCAATTACCTTTGCGGTGGACACGATTACTAAAAAACTACTAATCCGATCAACACCAAATTTTGACCACATATTTATTATGATATTAGCTAGTCCGTGAACGAGGGATTTTCCATTTTTTTGAAAACTCCCTTTTTAAAGCACAAAAAACGAAAATCTTATACCTTGAAAAAGTAAATTTTTTGTTTCAAACGTCGCCATTTTTTTTTTAATCAAAATTTTAAAAAATCCCTCGTTCACGGACTAGATAATACAATATACTAACTAAACTTTTTTGAATTTTGGATTTCGGATGAACCGTTTTCGAGAAATCATGTCCACCGCAAGACACCATCGAAAAAAGACGATTCGGGAATTCTGCTATAACATTTTTGTTATGTAATATCTTTTTATGAAAAAATTTAATTAAGTACCCAGAAACATGTACTAAACAACGTCGGTAAAACATTTTTCATAAATATTTTCTATGGTGTCAAAAAAAAATCGATAAAAATCCATATTTTTGCGCGGTACAACTGTATATAACCCCTTAAGTTGACCTGTTTGACCTGGGGAACTGTCACCGCAAGGCTCTAAAAAAAAAAAGGCCTCTAAGGGAAACAGCCACCCCTTAAAAACTATTTAATATTTTTCCACCAAATTTTGCACAAACATTGTTAATAAAGTGTACTATCAAAAAATTAAAACATCCGTGTAATTAAATAATTGCTACATACCTAAAAAAAAATCCGAACTTTGCTCATTTTCTTCGACAAAGAAGGTATATAACCCCTTAAAGGAACCTACAAATGGTAGTAAACGAAATCGAACACGATGTTACCGCCGCGAAAAAAAACCGCCCTTAAAGAAATGGCTTCGCCGCCAAGAATGTTATTAATATTCTAAATAAAGATAAAAAGCCACAACCCCTCTTCAAGGTCGAGCTCGAGCCAGAAAGCAGGTCGCTGAAGAAGAACGAAGTCCACCCAATCTACAACCTGCAATATCTTTTGCATCGGAAAATCACTGTTGAAGAGCCACATAAAAGAAACGGTCCAGTGCAATGCACTAATTGTCAAGATTATGGACACACCAGGTCTTACTGCACACTTCGGGCTGTCTGTGTAGTCTGCGGGGAGGCCCACAACTCCACTCACTGCGCTGCAAACAATGACAGTACCGTGAAGAAATGTGGAAACTGCGGAGGCAACCATATGGCAAACTATAGAGGATGAATGGTGTATAAGGAGTTGAAAAGTCGCATGCGTCAAGCGACCGCAACGCGCAACCAAAATCCACAGAATGCGTACATCGCGTCAAAAACTACGCCAGACGTCTTCTTCGCCAAAGCTGCGAGATCCTCATTCGGTCCACTGCTCTACGATCTGGAAGGGAAATTCCAATTCAGCCTAACTCTCAAAGCGCTCAACAGGCTCCAGAACCGCCACACAGCAAAACGGAAACTATGATGCTTACCCTCCAACAAAGTATGATCAAAGATTATAAAGTACATAGATG